TCATATCTAGGTACTTATTACTAATATTACTATACATCATAAATCCATTATAAACACCTTGATGCATTTTTGTATATATACTGCGTTTACAGTCCATAACACATTCATCCCGAGTATGACTAGTAAAGCATTGGCCATTGGATCGGTACCTATGGTTAGCCATATATTTGACAACCTTTTCCCGATAGTGAATAGTATAGACCCGGGCATTGTTATGTAGGTGTATTTCACCCTTATCATTTTGATCGCCAATTAATTCATGTCGGGAATGCATATGGATTATTAGCTTTTTATTAATATCCGTATAATTTACTGGCATGCTAATTTTAAATAATGCCCTATTATTCCAACCATTATTAATAACATTAGCTTGATACTTTTTGTTGTCATTAAAGTTAAAATTTGTATCATGAAACAATGTCCAACAATGTTTATTACCAGTAATTGATCGTGTATAATTGTAAAGCTTAATATAATTGATCCAGTAGTGCCCATGTCGGATTGTGCATGTAAAACTAGGTGGATCTGTACTAGGTAATATTATATTGAATTGCTGACCAATGGTGTATTTCTTGTTGAAACTGTTATAATCAAATTGATTATTTTGTTTGGTATAATTGTTCTTGATGCTAAAATCATTTATTAATAATCCTTTATCAATACAAATAGTGAAACCCGGTAATGATACCAATCCAGTGGACTCATAGTTAACATTAGTAGTGGTTTCGTATGAAAAGTATAATAAACTTATTTTATACGTTTGATATATACATCCCATTAAACAGATTATATACAAAAGTATGTTAAAATAATTCATTATGATGCTTAATAATTATTCATTATACTAAACGATTATATTTTGAAATGTCATTTAAAATACCTTTTAATAAAAACTAAATTGTCATTTTATAAAATATCTAATTATAAGATATATTTAATTAAAATTTTTTTTAATTTCAATTGATTTAGAATGTGTTACGCCAATAATAAATATCAATACTGTACTACAGTAATAACAATTTTATTAAAGTAAAATATTTGAATAATTTAATTTAAAATATATTAAAGAAAATAATTTACATAAAATCTATATGTAATTATACAGTTAATTATGTTATAAATAGTTATGAGATTATTAATTTATGCAACTTTATTATTAATTTATTTATTAATTATGTTATAAACATGTTTTTTATATAAAAAATGAACTATGGTTTAATGAAAACATCCTTTTGAAAATAAAACTAATGAATTAAACATTTCATAAATTAATCAATATATTATATTACAGTATTATCATAATACAGTACTTGCATACATAGTTCAAATAATATTGCATAATATAAAAAGTAATTAATATAATGTTTTATTCACATTTTATTTTTTTTAAAACAAAACAAGTATTATAGATTATTTTGAAACTGAAAGTTTATTCATTCATACCAAGTACAATTCAATTATACAATACAAATACAATATAAAATATCTAAAAAACCTTGGTGAACAATACTATTTAGTTATATTAAAACAGAGTTTAAACGTGTTTTGCATTCACTACAGACATAATAATATCTCAAACGCCTGTCCCTAACCTAACAGCTCCTTCAACCGGCTCTGGTGTCTGAAATACCTCTGCTCGTAGGCCCGGTAGCGTTGTTGGTCGAGCGTACGACTGGCCCTCGAGAGCTCCCTTTCCAACTCACGTATAACACGTAACTCCTGGTCGAGTCGGGCGGCCAGTTGGCGGTTAGTCTTTTGGTATCGACCCCTATGGGACTCATATTCGCGGATCAGTGGTCGCACCCGACCTAATAGGCCGTCCCGTTCATATTGAGCGTCAATGGCTATTATGAATAAAATACTAAATATTAGCTTGCACAATTGTGTTTTAGGTACAAAATGTAATTAATTATAACATAGAGATTATTTTATGTTTATAATTTGATTTCTAAGTAATTAATTAATAGTATTTATAAAACATACAGCAAATAATGGCAGCAATAATCACCAGGGTTAACAGTATAGCCCTCATTCTCAATACAGTGATTGATACTAAAATAAGTGTTATAATTATTTTTTTATAACTAATTTTATAGCCCTTTATATACTGCGAGTAAACGTGCGTTAAATGTGTATATATTTTGTATTTCCGGTAAAAGTTTTGATAATTTTGAAATCATTTACTTGTAATTGTGTATCAGTTTAAAGGAAATCCATGATGTTTTGATCAAGGTGATTCAGTTGTCTTTGTTTAAGAATGTTAAGTGCATATAAACTTATTTTTGTATATACAGTATATATCTCAAAATTATTGATAATAATTATTAAAAGTACATTTCTAAACGATAATTTGTGTATATCATTTAAATAATTAAAATACTTAATGGAAAAATAAAAATAATAATATAATCATTATATTGTTTGTTGTTTACTACAGACAAATATTAAAATATATCAACATTATTAATAGCAATTAAATGTTTGATATATTTTTAACATTATATATATAAGAGACAAAACTCAAAAAGAAAAATATATTTAATGCAATGTAATGAACATAATAATACATTGAATTAATAAAACGTTTAAAACATATTTTTTTGTGCAAAAAATATTAACAGAAAAATAAAATTTTAAATATTATTGAGTTTCTAAAAACTAATATTTTATTATAAATCTTTTGAAAAACATTTCACAATAAAAACTTTTAATGATAAAATCTTTTATTATTATATTATATATATATATACTGTTTATTACTTATAAAATAAAATAATTATCATTTTATTAAATATTTTAATTAGAATAATTAAATCTCGTAATTAATTAAATTAATAAAGTTTTACATAAACAATATTTTATTACAAAAACACGTTTAATATAATATTGCTAATATAATACTATATTATCAAGATCCAATAAATATATTATTTTTAAAAAATAACTATTAATTAATTGTGACATTATTTTGATTCATGGATATAATCAAGGCAAACCGTCAGTGTTTATTTCACATGAATGATGGCGAAGTCTATAATTTTGGATATAATTTTACCCAGGTTG